TATGATTAAAATTTCATAAAGTTCTGCAACTGATGAAAATGCACTACAGTGCGTACCCCCAAAAAAGTGTACACAACTTTGGTACCTTATGATTAAAAGTTTATTATCAATTTGAATCTATTTCACGGTATAAAGAATAACACGTTCCTGTCTAATGGTACCTTATCCACATTTCTCTGCCACGGACGACTCAGCACCAATATCGTTATAAACTGCTGTCAAAATCTTGTCTACTCATCGATAATTAAGAAAGAAATATCCAGCTCGAGGTTAATTCATTGTACATGAGTTTATAATTGATTATGTTTAGTATCCACTTAACTATGCACCCAGTACCTGAGGCTTTCTACCTGGAAGTATTGGTAGGTCTAATCGACTTCATTTACTTGGTTCAATCACTTGAACCCCAATCCAAGGGTTGTACGTTCGAATCCCTGCCCGGAACTAACGTCCTTTGGCAAGACATTAATCCACATTTTCCACTCTCCACCCGGGTGTACATGGATAAATGGTAATTGGTGAGGTAACGCTAATTGCAGGGCCCTAGGAAGAACACCATTAATGAGACTTTCCGGGGTAAACAAATTCATTATTTTGATAAATTATATTCATTTTATTCTTAATGTATCTTCTTTTAATCTTTACAGATTAGGTGAACATAGAAGCCTGCAGTGCTGTAAATCTCTACAGGCATGGCTTGGAAAGGTTTGGAAGCGTTATTGCTCTTTCTGATCCTCATATCATGCCAAACTCGGTCCATCCAATCAGCTCCTCTCTCCTCCTACCTGGTATCATCCTTTACCCCTCCTGACCCCGACTCCACCCTACTATTCAACCACATCGCCATCAACAACATCACTGGAGATATCTATATTGGAGCACGTGAGAGGCTCTACCAACTCGACTCGGAACTAAATCTCAAGCACACGGTCAATACTGGACTCTGCCCTTCGCCAAATGATGAGAATGTCAATGATAATAAACTGCTTGTCGTCGTGATAACACCAAAGAACTATTCGCTCATCACTTGTGGAGGCTGTGACGGTTTCTGTGAGTCAAGGAGCTTGACTAATATATCACATGATGTAAAGGGGTATAATCCAGCCGATTCTCAGAGAGTTGTGACAACAAATGATGTTCCTACTGTTGGAGCTGTTGTTCTGGGTGCTGACTTTGTAGATGATGTTGAGGGTACAAATGAAAATTTTTATCTCTTCACAGGGGTCAGTGATGGCCAAAGTTCCTTCATTTCAAAGCGCAATGTTTTATACCTGAATTTTGTGCAAGGAATACAACGATTTTCTAGCCTGACTGAGAATGTATTCAAACATCTTATTGCTTACAGGGATTATCTGTACTATTTCATATCTAGAAGAACCAGTATGTACATCGGACGTCTGTGTCGTAATTCACTAGACCAGTACTTTGAGTCCTACACAGAGATAGAACTACAGTGTGGATCTCACAATATGATCCAATCTGCTCATATCGGACCAGCAGGACCCCAGCTAGCTGACGCATTGACTATGAACAGTACGGATGCCTTATTGTACGCGGTCTTTTCAAATGAGGGCTCATCTGCCCTATGTGTCTATGAGATGAGTGATGTCCAGCAGAGCTTTGACGTTGCTGTCTTAGGATGTATCCACGGAACTAGCAATGGCACAACGAACAGATACCTGCGTGGTAGCATGTGTAGTGACTATCCAGTAAGCCAATGTAAACAATAATTAACAGAAATATGAAAGTTATAATGTGTCAGTTTTTCTTAAATAATCTAACAGATATAGTCTAACGGTAGTATCCGCAATGTGTAACATGGGTGTTGTAAATGTATGCTGAGAAATCGATTTGCCATAGCTTTTTCATAAAATTAAAAAAACCATCAATTCACAGTAAGCGGCCCTGCTTTTTTGATCATTCAGGGACGAATCCATATGGAAAAGCATCGAGGCTGAGTATCGCATTTCGCGTGACATATAGCCAAATATATATGATAAGCTTTCTGGTAACCCAATTTGCCCTTCCATATCCAAATTACGAGTCAATTCGTGTATCGTTTAATTTACAAAATCGTTTTCAAACTGAGCATGATTGAAAAGTACCATTACCTTTACAGCTAATCTTTACTTGAGGCCAAGTTTGTAAAAATAATACAGTAAAAACACATGGCGAGCAGTGCAGCATATCACTCAGGCGTTGTAAATGTTGTATCAAAGCACAGTGGCTGAGTCTATAGGATTAATCCATTGCACTTCCCTTTCACTTCCAATAACCCTAGTTACCTTTAACAAAAAATCTACATACACAATTACTCTAGGAAAAGAATTCGGTATCACAACATATCTGCGTCTGTGTCATTGTTTTTTTACAGAAAGCTACGTGGTGACTATGGATGCGTTCAGCTTTTTGAGTTTAAACAAGTTTAGTCACGCAATGTATTTTGGGTTGTATTCGCAAATTCATAATGATGTTCTTTCTGGTAGTATCCTCCCGCTTTCATTTTGTCAGATTCAGTCTAATGTGTTTAAGTGTACATTCAGTAGAAGAGTATCCTTAGACCCTAACCCATCATCACCATTATAAATGTAATATCCATCATGTTTACCAAAGAGAGAAAGAGAGAGACAGCGCGCAATAACAGTCATTTACATATGCAGGGGCTTATGAGATGCGTGATTCTTCTAAAATGTGATAAATCCTTTCCTTTTTCTTTCCTGACAGCTTTGGTTATCACCACCAGATTCTGTCCAGTGTACCGCATATTTTAGAGATGGAGATGTTTGGAACACTTTGCACAGGTATGCCAGTGGAACGGTTCCCCTCTCTGCCTCACCCATCATCACCATGCCTGATGTGATACCCACCTCCATAGTGACAACTACAGAGAGACAACATACAGTGGCATTCATAGGAGATACGCAAGGGGAACTCCATAAGGTTTGGTACCTTCCACAATATAAATAGATCATCAAGAGAAATGTACCTGCTGATATTGTAAGATGCCATGACAAATAAATAAACTAGATCGTATACAGTTAACTCTCTTTGTTGGTAAAATGTATGCATTTTTTGTATCCATCCGATAGGTTTCAATACTTTGTCAACTCACAAAACCAATGTATCCTAAATGTATTTTCCCAATATATTTACCCTTCCGCAGAACAAATTTATTAAAGATAATTACCTATATCTCGGCCGTACAAAGGTCACATAAAATGATGAGCATAATTATAGCAAGATATGATTGGTATGTCAATTTAATACAAAAACACTAAAAAAGAAGATTATCTTCAATATCTTATATCTTTCTGTTTAATACTGTATTAAACAGATAGATATAAGATATTGATATTGCATTCGAGTACTGATCAAAAAAATGCCTAATTACTTAAAAATCTCATTTTATCTTGCTTATTAGGAACAAATTGAAAACACTGCACGTTATTTTATTCGTGATTTTTCTAAATAGTTGAACATAGTGAATAGTTCATGTGGCTACGTATATGAAGATGTCTTTCTTGGAGGTGGATCTGTCTTACAAAAGATGTTCCTTGATGAATCGACAGAGCTGCTCACCCTTGCTACAAGTTCAGACGAAGGTTCAAAGGTAAGACTCTTCAGAAAGATACAATCTAAATGTGATACATACGGGCATACTCATTTGATATTACATGGTTGCAGTAGAAAAAACACGAAACTCTCCCGTCATTTAGTCGTAAAAACAGGGCTGACCGGGACACTCTTTCATTGTTTTTGTTTATTTGCATTTTCTTATGCATCACTGTGAAAAATAACGGATGTTGTTAAGCAGTCAGTCCCAATAGCGGTCTACCACTGTTTCCAAAAGTAATTTTGGGCGCAATTGTTAAGCAAAGCCAAGAGGGGCCGTATAAATGATATATGCATTATGCGTGACCATGTGGTGTGCAAATATTTTTAAAAGTCAATTCCATCAAAGTTTTAGTCATTGTTAACTGTATATTAGCCAGACGTTTCATTGTTCAGAGGAATGAAATTAACCAGCAACGTGAGAATTATAAAATATTTATTATGCCAATATAAATTATTGCCAGCTATAAGATTTCCTGTAAAATCAACAGGGATGTTCGCCCATTTTGTCGATAGTGGAAAACCACTTGTTCCCCCTCATTTTTCAAACGTCTTAACTGTTTAAAGATAAAATAGAGTTCTGGTTTTAAAAAAAAAGGAAAATGAATTCTCACAGAATCAAACGAAACTTACACTGAATGTTCAAGATTACAAATACATGTCATTTGCCAAACAATTTTGGTAGAAAATGACTTCTGGCTGAGTAATGAGCATAGACAGATTAGGAAATCAAGGTAAGTAGCCCCGACATCATTTGTGAAGTCCCATATACATCTACCTGTGTACAGTGCTTGTTACTTTACCATGACTGGGCCAAATTTATTATGATTTTGATGACTCCAGAACCTTGCAGTACACACCAATACTTACACGCTACATGATCAACCTTTTCTGATCCATTCCACACCTTTCCTTTCACAATGCAATCGGATGACCAAAACTCACCTTTATCTTTAAATGTGGCGAATCTGTCGATTCTTCTAAAATGGATGTGTAGCTTAGATGAGGTTTGTTTCTACATACATGCCCACTACCGCATAGGCATTTGTTTGACTTTCAAAGGCTAAGCGTCTCTGGCATATGCTTAAGGAATCCTTTCTTTTTATGAACCAATTTTTCTAATCGTTTTACTGCCATGATTACAGGGACTTCTTGAAGAAAATCGATTATTTACGAGCTTCTGTAATGCTTGCCCGACACAGCTACTAGTAATGTATGGACGGTAGAAGCCATCTATGCTATCTGACATTGTATGTGAAATATTACCTCCACACTATGTTTTTTTTTAAAGGAACATCCATAAAATATCTTAGTTGTAATAGAGAATAACTTGACAGCTGATCTCAGCATCGATATGACATCTGACATTATTGACTTGCTTTAAATTTTTATTTTCATATGATGAATCAGGTTCTCACGTTGGGTTTAGTCAACTGTGGCCAGTACCAGAGCTGTGGGGAATGCATTGGTGAGGAAGGAGGAAATGATGGAGACCCTTACTGTGGATGGTGTACTCTAGATGCAAGGTGAGTTCATCGTATAGGAGAATGATGACATTTTTGCCCGCTCCCTTTCTCCAATTAACTTGAGTTAAAGACATTCAAAATTTATACTTTTTCAAAATTCCGCACAGCAATCGGTCGAGGGACCCATGGCGTTGTCAACCCTTAGAGAAAACAACAAATTCTGATTTCACTTTTGCTATGTTTATATCTTGATAATTCTGTACTTATAAGGCTACGTGAACAAAAGAGCACCTTCTCAAATCATCTTTATTCCTATTTATCATTTTCTACCTTCCCACACCCTTTCCTCTTTAAGATGTACACGATACGAGGCGTGCCCCTTCCCTGACGAGTCAACTCGGTGGTTATCTTACAATGCATTGCAATGTGTATCCATCTCAGATGTCCATCCTGATCATAGACTGCCTTATCAAGAAACAGAACAAGATGTAAGTCGATGAAATGAAATATTGATTTTCACTCATTATATATTGGGACTTCATGTCCATCCAAACCAAATTGTGGATCGCTGAATATGAAACTAAAGAATTGGCTGAAATTCTGATACGTCTTTCCTTAACTAGGAGTATCGGCAACTGGATTATGCGTCGAGTTTTCGTTGATGCTTTAAGTATTAACACCCTGGATAAATCGTGATGCAATAAGAATGCTTTTTGTCGCTATCAAGAAAATGAACATGTCAAACAAATCCTGTCTTTTTTTAAACAATCGACCAACCTTAGACATAGAAAGTCGAAGAAGTGACATTTTATTTTGACCACATTATATGTTAATAGTTATGCCGCGATATTTAACTTAATAAGTATGTTCCCCATCTGTTGTATGTCAGACATAAAATCTTATGTACATTATGTTTACATGCGATAGATCACCATTACCGTTCAGCAGCTACCAGCTCTCAAAGCCAGCCATCAATACCAATGTGCCTTCGACTCCTACCAGGTCAATGCTGATATTGTCACTGCCAATACAGTCATGTGCGTTTCTCCTCCTGCGAGGGAATTGCCTACGATTCCAGGAGAAGGTATTGAAATATATCAATTATCTCTCGGTTACTTTATTACCCTTTTAAAATCCAAATTTTCACTATTTCTACAGTATATGACGTGATTCTTCTCTTGGCTCAAAATGTTCCCACAAGATCGTCGTAGTTTAAATGTTAAGTTTGCGAAACCTGGAAGTTGTAAACAATGATCCACATACCACAGTCGAGGGTTAACACAGGACTAAAACAAAGAGTAATCACAATGCAAAAACAAGCATGCGAACATCCAATTTAATTACGTCAGTACGGCGCATATGGTCGAAGTTTAAACCCACGATATAAGACTTCAAAGGCTGTCATTTTAGAAGTATATTGCTAGAAGAGTAGAAGAGTAGAAAAGTTGATTGAAACTTTGGAGAAAATCCTAAACTGAAAAAGGAGGTTCATACGAGATATAAATGGGATACTGTGGTTTCCCTTTCTATTATCTTTGCATTTATTTAGTACTGAATATCGAATGTATTTTTTCCTTAATATCACTAAAGATTTTGCTTTATTACACTTTACATCAAATGATACTCCTTTGATAGTATGTTGATGGGGGGGGGGGGGGGGTTAACAAATAAACAAGGATTGCAAAAAAAAAATGAATACTAAATAAACTAAAACTACGTCACCTTTGAAAAGTGCCAAGATTTCGACGACATATATTACATTATCCCAACGTGATTCCTATCGGCAATATATAATAAGGTACTGAAATTTACCTTAAGAATTCTTGAACAACTTTGCAAACGTTTTATCTATATTTTCTTCTTTTATTTACATTCAGCGGACCATGTAACATTGACACTTTCTATTGTCTCAACGGAAACTGGAGTGAGCTTTGTGAGCACGGATTTTATATCGTTTGACTGCACCCTTCTTAAATCGTAGGTTTCTACGTTTTATAATATGCCAACTCTGCTTTTTTTTATAAAGAGATACTTATTTTTACTTACTGGGCAAGTCAAAGGTAATTTGTCCCATACTTTTACTGACTACATATTTGATTAAGTATTTGTGATGATTTTATCAATTTTACAATCCTATGCTAGCTTAAATCAAAGCAATTTCATGGATATTAACAAGATCAATTCAATGTTATATGATTTCACTATTCCATCGCACTTGGTAACATACTATGGGCCAATAGCCCCCCCCTCTCCCTTGCCATTCCATCATACGCAAGTGGCTTAATCTCCTATCTTTACAATGGCTATAAATCAAAATATCATTCTGACGAGCTATAAATTTAAATGTGAGTTATGAAGTGCAAAGTTTAGGAATAGATTAAATGAGTTGAGGTGGCCCGACATTTGCTTTGGCATACATTGCTCTACGCTTTATTTCGTCAAATACATAGGATTAGGGTTTAGGGTTGCAATTGGGTCAGGTTCAGATTTAAGCTTATGTTTAGTCCAAAGTTAAAGTTTAGAGTTTGGTTAGTGTAGGATATTGATTGCGTCATAATATTCACCGAGAGAATGTTGTACAACTAATTTCAGATAGGTAGGCGATCCAAGCAAAGACTCTTAATTGTTAGCATCACAGACTTAACATCGTATCATTCTTTAAGTTCCAGCAATTTCTTTTTATTTGTTTCTTGCAGTTGTTCCTCTTGTGTGACAAGTCCTTGGTCATGTGACTGGTGTGTTTATGACAACATGTGTACACATGATAGCAGCTCATGTCAGCCGGGAGAAACAGTGGTGATTGGAGAAAATGTAAACAGATTTGTTAACCTTGAATAAGTTTGTCTCTCCCCCTCTTTGAGTCAATATACATTTCAATCATTTTACTGAAAAGAGCGTATGTTGAATAGGCATCTAAGTTATTCGTATATCACGTCAAGGTGTTCTCCTCTTGTTTTCACCAAATGTTAAAACTAAGAATGTCTTTATTTTTTAATTTCAAGTTCAAGTAATGGAAACATACATTAAAATACAAAATAGCGTGAGACCGAAGAAATGCGCAAAGGTAGGCCTCGTAATTGGGCAAAATGCAAAGATATAGGCTTACTTAAATCAGTAGACTCTGAATTTGAATATAATTTGTGCCTTGAAATAATGCCATTCAGCAAATCCTTTCAATGGAATACCAATACCATACACACACACTTATTGACAATAAGCTACAGGTGCAATGTGTTTGATTTTTTTTCTTTTGTATCTTGTATCTAATTTATATTTTGAAGAACGACGTAGGTTTTGGAAACAAAGGCCAGAGTTATTGCCCTCAGCTTTTGGCGACATCAGAACGTTTTTTCATACCAGTTAACATTCCTTCTGGTTACTCACTTCTAGCAAATAATCTACCCACAGAGCAGACTAAGGTATGAACATCATCCTATTTGTGCTACGATGATTGTAAACTTTACATACTACTACTACTACTTCTACCACCACTACTACTACTACTACTACTACTGAAATTACTACTACTACTACTCCCATTACTACTCCAACTGCTGATGCTACTACTATAACAATAATAAGGCATTTTACCACTCCCAACGCTCCATTATTGTTAGCCGGCTTTAGCACGGCATCCAATACAGCGCTCAAGAATTGTAACGAATGGATACCTACCTGGAATTTATTTTATAACTTACCTGGAGTAGGTCGAGTGTGGCAAAATGTGGAGTACTTTCTTGCAACAAGGATTCGATGATTAAATAATCTCTGACAAAAACATGAACATTTTACAAGTTGTCATCTCGCTAAATTAGGAAACGACTTTTTATCAGTTTAGTAATTTGACGATCTTGACCACTACTTTCTCCTAGTTTATTTTGGTATTGCATTGATTGAAATGTACTATTTTTTATCTTTATTACCATCTTGTACTTGTCATACCTGTCTATTTGGCTCACTATTGTATATTTACTGTATCTATAACTTTATTGTATTACTTGTAAACATGATCAGTGTTTGTCCTTGAACCTTTGAATCATGTATATTTACATGTCTTTTTAAAACGAAATAAATAACAAAACAAAAAAACAAAAAAAATTCAATTTAATATTTCATCAGGTCCAGTCGGTTGAGTGCATTCTTCGCATCGATGGAGTCGGGATACGAGTACCAAGTTCCGCCTTCAATGAAAGTTACATTGTCTGTAGTCCTGAAGAGGTAAATATGTGTTTGGACCCTTGGAAGAACAATTCTTCATTATCTATCATCAATATTATTCATATTACGTGAAATTGATATCTTGAGGATATGTTTCCAACCAATGTAGAATAGTATCTAATCCAACTTCATGATCAATATTAGTATAAAGACTGTTAACATAAAATGTTTGATGTTTGATGTTTCTTTCATCCACGCCACACAAAAAGAAATAAACCTATCCTTTATTTTCCCCTATCCATCATTTTTACCCCCCCCCCATTTACACTAACGAAGACATTCGCATTACACCTGCATATCAATTGAACCCTAACACTATCTTTATTTGAACCTTTTATTTCAGTACATGTTTAATGAGGACATCCTCGAGAAGAATGTAAGCGTCTCGGTTCAATGGAATGGGCAATACGACATAGATGACCCGACAGACACATACGGTAAAATACCCTTTTCGTTATTACCAACACATTTCCCATCAATTCCAAAATACGCTTTGGCTATGCAATTGAACAAAACTGTCGCCGCAGATCTTTTTTAAAACGGTGAAATTATCACTTTGAAAACATTCCTAATGCGGGAAAATATATATATATATATTTTTTTTTTTTCTTTGACGATTTTTTTCTTCTATTCCATCAAGCATTTAATTTTATAAAAATCTACTTTTAATGGTTAGGAAGAAAGTTCAAAATTAGTTCAAAATTAATTACCATTTTCAATTGAGACTTCACTATATGGTCTTCATTTGCAAATTCACCTGGAAGATACTTTACACTTGAATAAATGTCTTGAATCATTTTATCATAGCTTGGAAATATAAGAAAGGAATTTAAAAACATGCATTAGACTCAGGAATCGACTATCTTGGTTTGAATTATAAAAATAATAATATAAATCATAATTATGTTTTCTTCTTTTCCATTTAAGTGACCCTGTACAAGTGTTCAGTTAACGGTGGAAGTTGCAGCCTGTGCCTGTCAGAAGGAGCAACCCCTTCGATCTTAGGCTGTGGTTGGTGTGATGATGACTGCAATGTCATTCGGAGTGATGTTTGTCAGAATAATCAGTTTCTCAGTCAGAATGACACCAAGCTCTGTGCAGCACCAGTAATCAGTGACGTAAGAAAATAATAAATCACTACCAAGTGTATGAATACTTACCTGTCATCAAACACATTATGCAAGGTCGTCTAATATTATGATGATAATTTAAATAACAATAATTTGTAAATTGTAATACGTGAGATTTGTAAGTCGCCACATCCATTTGATATCATATGCTCAAGACGCATGAAATCATTCATTATTGCGTGTGATTTATGTGTTATAATTGTATAAATGCACTTGAGTCTTACTTCCAAATATCAAATAGACATGCATGATAAACATGATTGTACAAACAATTATCAAACTAATCATACAAAATATTATGCATGAGAATTTAATCTTGTGGTTTTCTCCATAGTTTTATCCCTTGTCAGTTGCTATCAACGCTCAAACGAGACTAGAAATTACGGGAACTGACCTAGGAGTAGAATTTGACGATGTACTGGAAATTGTCATTGGAGACTTGATGTGTAGTCTGACTGACATGGGTTCATTCTATCAGCCAGGACAGAGGTAAAAGCAACAAACACAGATTTATTTTGTTCGATGTAACCTTGTTTATTAACGTCTCATAAATGGCCAAGGAATTGTTACAGTATTTGTTCCTTCATGATGTTGCCGTCATCACCAACAGTCTTAGAATGCTATACATGTATTTATGTTGGCAATAAATTCTGCATCAAATGGTTTAGCGTGTTAACATTCTCGTTTACTCTTATTTGGGCATGTTCCAAGATATATAAAGAGTTTCTTTTATTTCAACACATTAAATGTGTTACATACATGACAGTTTACGTCATAGGGATTCATGATGATATCTTCGCAAGAATAACAAGAAAAACATACAAAAATAACATGAAAAGACAAGTAACGAAAATAATTTGGCTGCAAAAGATGTATATGTCAAATGACCAATTGTCTGATTCTCTTGTTGTTGACAGTGTTAGCTGCATGACTGGTTTATCTACTGGAGTCATCTCAGGACGTATTGAAATCACAGTGAGGTCTGGTGAAAGTATTAAGACTGGAGAAAGTTCTACAGAATTCTTGTACAGGGTGAGTGCATAATAAATCGCCTAGTTTACTTTTACTTTTATACTCTGATATCGGGCTTTGAGAGGAAATTATCGTATTAATTTAATACGACATGATAACACATTCATCCGTAACCTACTTCTTATTGAAACGATTTATACGATAAAAGTAATTTTCTTTCTAGGATCCCATTATATCAGGGTTTAGCCCCACGGAGGGGCAGGTAGCAGGAGGTACAGAGATCACTGTTACTGGGATGTATCTCAACACAGGAAGGAACATTGAAGCTAGTTTCGGAGAAGCACAATGCAACAATTTGTGAGTATCACTTATATGTATTATGTACATTAATGTTAAAATTTTGCTATACATATTTTCAGTAGCATTTATTATGTGTTGTTAGATAAAATTGGAAAAGTGTAGATGTTTTTCTATATTCTTTGTTCTTTTTTTCAATTATTGTACAAAAATGGGGAGATTGTAGATGAATTGATCGATGCACTTCGAATCTCATTTTACTGATGGGAACATGGGAACATGGGAGGATATTTGTTATGGGAATGGATTGTGGAATCTATAAATTTAAATGTAATACAAATCCAAAAGTACAATTTAGAAAGACACACAGACAAGCGCGCACACCCACACATACAAACACCCATTGTACCCACGCACACCTACATTGATCGGTCAGAGAAACTCGCTTTCATAAGCAGTACCAATAACTGTAGATAACACGTCAAAAGCGTCGTAAGTTAAGATTTATCTCCCGCACCCCGCCAGCATGATATATAGAGTTTTAATGAAATGCAATGTGTTCAGGAGATAGATATAACATTCTGAATGATTCATGATATCAACATGCCTGTTTCAACGTCTTAGAAATTTTCTTATATTTTGTCCTAATGTATGAATGTATATGTAAAATTTCAGGATTGTTGACGATACGACTGTACTGTGTATCACAAGCAGCTTACAAATGAATGAACAGATCGCTGTGCCCTTGACCATGACATTTGATGGACTAGTAAAACGGTTTGAGGACTACAGCTTTATCTACAACCCAAACCCAATAATTAATGGCAAATACAGAACCGAGTCCATCTTGTCGTAAGGAACCATATCTTTATTCTTGTACCAAACGAGAAAATGATAGTCTGGCAATGTTTTATCATTATATTCTTTGGCATATTATGTGATTTAATAATTTGTTATCAAATATGTTTAAAGTCAATAGTTTATAGTGTTCATTAGGCTTGTGACAATGTACTAAATTGGTGTGTTAAACTCTAGTGGGACATATAGACAACAGTGTACGAAGGGAATGAAACTAAGCATTTATAACTGCATCTAAATCTCTCTCCACTTAGATGGTTTAGATATTAATATAAATATTTTCCCAGACAAATCTAATATGACGTGAATAATAATCCATGAAATTATTGTGGTCAGTTCTCAAAGTGACACTTTCTTAACATAGCTGCGTAAACGCAGTATAAATGTTCTTTCAATAGTCTGAAACGTGTGAAATTTCTTGTGTTGATACAGAGGAGGTCTCGATATCAAATTGACAGGACAAAGATTTGATCTCATCCAGGAACCCCGTATAATAGTTTCGTCACTTACAACAGATGCTAGTAACTCTAAGGTATTTATTTATTAGTCTGCTATTTGTTGTTTGCTTATTCACAAAGCAGACGTAGTCTGTTAAAAAATTGCAGAGACACCATCATTAACATACCACTCTTAGAGCGTGAACTTCCCAGGAATCGAAAGACCTCGATAAAGACAGGCCATGCAACCCTTAGACAACTTCTTGAGCCAAAAAAAAAGAAGGTCCCTAGACAGACGATGTCGGTCTCGAGGACTGTCAATCGCGTGGATGGTCCCGTAGACTGATGGTATACTCGGATGCCCCTTTTTGTGTGATGAATTTGCTTTATTCGTACCGCTTTCGTTCGGACGTTACAATCAACATTCGATACCTATATAACCTTATGTTACATTAAGCTCATGATTCATCCGGTGCCTTAGACAATAGCGAATCAGGAGATCTCCTTCTATTACTTGATTTATAATTCATTATTAATAAACTCTGATTTATCTATTCATTTTGATTCAAGATGTGTCGATTTATGTTCCACAGCTCTGCAATGGAACGGAAACTATTCTCATCTGTCCAACCCCAAGCTTTCCTGACGATGGTATCTCTACCAGAAGGAGACGAGCTACAAATGGCGTTATGACAGCAAATCTGACCTTTGACTTTGATGGATACATCGTCGATGGCGGCTTGATAGAGTACTACCCAGACCCTATGTATGAAAGCTTCAGTGGGCCAAACAGGATCTATGCGAGCAGTAATGGACGACTCGATATTACAGTGAGTGTTGAAAATACCCTGTAGTAGCGCTGCCCTGCCTGAATATAAAAAATTTTGAACAAAAAAACTACATGAATTTTCATTTTTATTGTTATCTAAAAAAAAATGTATAACAAAATTCGCATGGACAAATGATTTACTCACAACTGAGCGGACAGAACCGACATAGGGTACGCAAAACGCTCATCGTAATCGCAGTTCTACGGTGTACTGTCTCCTCCAGGCATGATTCTGGCTTAGAGCCAGAATCATGCCTGGAGGAGCCAGAGAAGTGCGGTGCAGAGTCTGCAGCTGGATTCGCAAACCTGCACTGCGCGTGCTACGTGGACCTCATTTAAACGCGTTTACAAATGATTGTGCGTTTATGCTTACCCAGAATCGCCGATCCAAAACGCACCTTTTTGTGAGTTTACATCGGCGATTACGATCGCCGTTTTTCTGTGATTCTACAAAAATGAGAAGGGACGCAACCATGTTTTGAACTAAATGCGTAACAAATGCCTCATTCTGGCCAAAAAAAAGTTGAGCATAAACGTACCAAAACAGAAAATAGATATAAAGCATTAATACGTTAAGGTACATAAAATAGATGAATATACGTAGTAATGATCTTGATCTTGAAAGAGAGTTGATGCCTTTGAAATGTGGTGCTGCAGGAGGCTGCTGCAGGTGTCATGGAAAGATAAAGAGACAAATGTGTGGGTCCTGGACAAGATTGGAACAGACTTGACCATCAGAAGGGGAATCATGGAGAGAAAACTAAACTATTTTGGGCACATTGTTAGGAGATCTAAAGGTGTTGAGAAGCAAATACTGCAAGGAGCAGTCGAAGGAAAACGGGGTAGAGGCCGTCCACCAGTATCTTGGACTGATGATATTAAGAAAGTGTCTGTACAAGGAATGAAAGGTGCAATACTAATGGCAGGTGAAAGAGTTGCATGGCGTGCTCTCGTTAAGACCACAGCAGCGCTTTACAGCGCCACCTGAAGTTGATGATGATGATGATCTTGTTTTGAATCATTCTAGGGCATTAACTTAGATCTGGCTAGCACGGAGGATGATGTTCAAGTTCTGCTAGGGCCGAATGGTGTCTGTCATGTGGATGTTCTTGAAATTGATGTAGTCCGTTGCCAGCTGCCAGAGAAACAGCCTCTAGCAGGTTACGAGAATGGATCATTGGGTCAGGGACCATCAAAGAATTTACCAGCCGTGACAGTAAGTTAACATTATATTCCTACTGATTTTGAAAATAATAAATCTGGAACTATATAGTCCTAAAAATGAAATTCCGTCTCAAAGCACTTAACATAAATCGTTATTACCCCAATCATCAGATTCATTCGCGCGTACAATGTCCACCATTTCCACTCCTATTATATGTAGATGTGAGGACTAACGGTAATTACTTATGTCATCCTACCTGGTTCCCGTATTTCACCAAGGTAAGGAGTGGCAAATGTAGATTAATGCCTCGCCAAACGACATTAGTGATGTTTCATGGATCGAACTCACGACATATACATTTCCAACCAAGTGTCAAACCACTCGAGTACATACCTCTACGATACGTTGTAATCCCATATACGGGTACAAACTATCATACCATAGGGTGTGAGGGTGGGCAAGTTACTGTACATATCCTGACAGATGGTGTATGTGCATGAGTAAGGTGGGATGAATGAGGGTGGGGTTAGTTGAGTGTGGGTAGCAGGGAAGGCGATTTCTTTAATGACCGGGAACGAAATGCGAGGGACGAAGGAGCACAGTGAATGAGAGGGGCGAAGGTGACAGTAGTGACTACCTCCTGACAGGTTTTGAAAGTTTTGTTGTATTAAAAAATTACATTCCTTAGCAAAAATATAGTATACAAACGAGCAATCTGCCTTTTTCACACTTCACTTTTACTTTGCCGGTAATTAGTATGCAGTCCGAAGGGTTTTACATAATTAGTAGGTCAATTTTAGTAAGTAGGATGCTTGGGCATGGTGGGGTTTATATTTTACACTCTAGGCCTCTGTCATGTAGATGAACATTGATATCGCTATGGGAGTGGCAAATGAAATGGCAAATATATAGACTATGCGGTAGTGAACTATTAAAACCAACCAATATATCACGGAATACCTGTAACATGCAAAATGACACTTTTTATAGCATTGATTTATTTCTACAACTCTTAATCTTGTAAACATACAATGTAAAATATGCTTACGTGATGCAAACGGAATACAGATTTTCTTTAATATTTACTTGTACATTTTGAAGGATATAATGCGAGGGAACGTAGCGACCGAGCGAGAAGATTTGTGCATTTGTATTTAGTCTAAACGCTGCACTCTTGGGCCCTCCATAGCCTAAAAGTGTGTTGCAGTCTTTGGTCAGTATTTGCTAGACATTTATTTTTTTGCACTTTTTCCCTCCCTGGTGGGTAGGCGTACTGATAAATGAATTGGGAGTGGGTGTATGAAAGTGTTTGCATGATGATATAGGGTGTTTGGGTTTGCTCTTGGCACATTTTTACATGGGGGGGGGGGGCGGGCTGGGCGTGCAGCTGATCGGCATTACCGATTTTGTTTTGTTGTGTGTGTGTGTGTGTGTGTGTGCGGAACGTGTGGGAGTGCATATGTTTGTTTATTTTATTCAAGTGTATGTTTGTATTACACAATTGGGGGAATAACACAAAAATACATAACAAAATTTATAATATATGTGTGTGCGTTGGTAAGCGTGTGCGTTCAACGAGTCCTACATCCTGACAGATGTGGGTCTGTCTACGTGTGTGTTTGCGAGATGTTTAAGATTATGGAGGTGTGAGAGTGAAGGTGTGAGGTGTATAATGCGTGGGCGCGCGCGCGTGCATGTATGTACGTGCGTGAGTGCGTGTAGGTTTGTGCGTGTGTGCGTATGTGCGTGAATTTATGTACGTGCGTGAGTGCGTGTAGGTTTGTGCGTGTGCGCGTATGTGTGTGTGTGTGTGCGTGCGTGTGTGTAGGGGATATGTTATTGTTTGTAGTACACATTTAGAGAAATAAAACCAAATTACTTTAAAAAAAGATATGGTAAAGAGAACGTGAGGTTCAAAATGTGGATGTGAATGTACATCAGTGAGGTACATAATATACGCATGCTTGAATCTGGGATGTGAGGTTATTAGGTAAAGCACGCGGATATAAGTCCTGCTTGAAGTGTGTTGAGATGTGGGCATGAGAATGTGAGGTTTGGCGTTCGATAGTTTACCCCAGTACGACTTTTTTTAGGGATGGGTTTGTATACGTTAACAGTCTGCAGCCACTAACACTATTTTGATACTTTAAAATAGTTTTATAAATCCTTTTCAGCCTCTTCCACTGTTAAATAAGCACATGCAAATGGCATATGAGTTGCTGTCTTGTGGAACGGATTTCAAAGACTTCGCTGAACCAGTTTGACCGGTACTATGATGTATTTTGTTGTCGTTTTCGTTTTGAACTCAATCCTTTAAGGCATTAGTTAATGCTCTATGGAGTTCTCGACCCATAAACATTAGGAACATATATTCTCTCGATACTTTTAAAAATGCGGTTAAGACCTACTTTAGTATTTACATTTTTCTGTATTATGTTGAAACGCATAAAGAATTATTATAATGTATTAATTATGCGGTATACAAATTTATCATTCATTATATTACCATAATCTTGTTTAACTTTCACCCAGGTGTTGCACGGGAATGTAAGGTTCTCTCCAGGCTTTGTTTCAGCATGGGCTACGGAAGGAAACCCTTTGATAGCCATTGTAATACCTGTGGTCATTGTCGTCCCCATTTGGATTATCATTCCGTTGATATTTCTAGTTTGGTGGTTCAGAAAGAAACAACTGGAAGTGAAACGAGCTAAGGAAGAGGTGAAAATGATCCGAATGAACATCTTGAAAAGGGTCCGAGAAGGTATTATATATTCTTTGCTACAAATATTTCTAGTAATACCACGTCAGCTGTAAAGGCATCATATTTGGCTATATTATTACATTTCGGGAATGGTGTTTAGTCTTCTCTCGTGGATAGATCCTATGCAATGTCAATTACCTTGCTATCATATGAGGAAAGAAGTACTTCTGCACCTGGTCGACTCCACAATCAAAAGAATGTTGATAACCGGGTATGATCATTTAAACACCCATCCGCTTTTAATAGATCGCTTCACGACTATGAACCGCCGTATAATGCTTTCTTAGCACATACAATACCTCTCTCCTGTATGAAATAAAAATAAGTACTCAAGTACTTTCATATTGGCGTTCAGTAATAAATACAATCGAATAATATACAAAATTGTTAATCTAAGGACAAAAGATGCGTTATTATTTTACCCACGTTTCTTTGAAAACAACATGAACATCAATATATCTAACCCACATTTCTTAAAGAAATATAATCTCCCCCCTCCTTGCAACTCATTCGCCTCAGGTCGAATTAAACCAAGCCCAAAATAATTATGATGTCTTTGTTCCTCGCATTTGTCCATTAGTCTCAAATACCAGCTTGGATTTATCTGAGGCTGATGACAGAGTCCAGAAGCAAGGAGTTCCATTTGTCGGGCATGTCCAATATGTGACGATGATGTTGTTTGCTGGGCTCGGTATTCATCCAGAAACAACAGAACCAGAGGTAAAATTATCTTGATATGAAAAGGCTTTCTTCTAAACAATAAGTTTTATCTCACAAAAAAATGCTTACTTTAAACATCTTAGACTAGTGATTTATAGGCAGCTATTCTGTCAAGCATCTTACAAGAGACTAACGGTGGTTCGTCTTCAAGGTTTACATAGGGTATATATAAAAAGATAGATAACTCCGTGCTTGATGTTTAAAAGTGTGCAGTTCACTCAAATGCTTTGCACCGGTTCTTCTGCTTGATTGCATCTTCTGTAAATATTTCTGCTCAATGATATTCCGGTCTATTTTGTTTCAGTACATGGAAGACTTTATGGAGCATTCGTTGGTATCGTTCTATCGTATGCTGAAGGAGAAGGCCGGATTGATAGAATTCATCAGGCAACTCGAAAATAAGAAAACGGGACAGGGTCGAGAAAGGTATACGAATATATTTTCTTTTGGTGCTGAATGTAAATACTCTACGATATATACAAGTTAGAAGTATTGCATATTAAAAAACACATTTATTTTCAACGAGATAATATAAGGTCATAATATTTATTAAAGCTTTTGCTTCTAGTATAAAGCCTGTATCCACCATATAAACGTTCCGTTACGACCATGGTTCTGGCTCGGATACTTTTAAACGTCAGTACACCCTGCATTCTTCGAGTTTATTCTTATAAAATGATTTAATTAACAGACTGCCAGGACTAAAGGGGAGAATGGCAAAGTTTAATTGATATCCTGTTAAAGGACAATAATGCCGTACTTGGGCTTCAAGAAGTTAGGATCTTCAGTCAAGTGCACGAACACCCATGAACCTATCGGCTACGACACCTGTATGAAGCCGATACCAAATAGTGTGTTTCTGATTAATTCCTAAGACATTTACTTTAATAAATTTGACCCTGCCCCCTCCCCCAACAAAATAATTGTTATTATTGTGTCATAGATTTAATGACTTTATATATATACGAATTATAAACTCCCTTTTCACCTCCACAACTGTCTGTTGTTGAATTCAATATGGTCAGACATAACAAAGCAATATTTGGCTTCTCCCATTTTTTTTTTGTAGGGAGCTCATTGCATCTCTATTGGCAATCACATTCGTCAGCGAGGGAAAGTCGATCCACTTTACAAGGTAAGTTTACGTGTTGTAGTTGGTTTCCAACATATTGTAAAAGCAAATAACTTTGATAACCTGAAGAGAAACAAAGTAAAGACATTCGAAAAGGCAACACAATGCTTTTTCAACAGGCTTTTTAGCGGATATTGAAATGTGCCAATGACACATTACGTAACCCGAACGTAATTTTTATAGGATAAAAACAATAGCGTCTCGAAACAGCCATTTAGCCGAATTATTCAAACTCACGGCGATCATGTTAAGAGCAAAAAGTCAATTACGATTGTCACTTTTATCACACAACGCTCATCTGCGCTTTCCTAGAAGAATAAACACGGTTTAAAAAAAATTATATTTGTCATACTATACCCGGATTATCTCCTTAACAATTGTTAATGTTTTCTTTCCTACCTGTTCGTGTTTTTCTTCAGTGTATTGACATCACTTGTTGAAGATGAAATCGTAACAGCATCTGAGTCTAGAAGGCGGATGGATACACTATTTACCAAGTAATCATTCTATTTACACACATCTTAATCTTAGTATGTACAGTCCTTTCAGAAGAGTTTGAAACAATTTATTACATTCGTTACTGCTTAACCACAATCATCAATATAATTCTCTATTTATGCAATATAGCTGGAATTATGACGAAACATTATTGCACCTTTGCTCGATGATGCGACATTCCTATTTAATGTGGATAGGATAGTTGATATCCTGTACATAATTCACTTTGGCAACAATAAGAAATTACCTTTTGACGGTTTAAAACTATCGATTTCTGGAATTCAAATTCTTGTGCATATTTTTCTTTGAAAATGTTTCCTCTGTTTTTGTTCAGCACTGAATCAATCGCAGTAAAATTGATTAGCAACTGGTTTGCCCTGTTTATGTTCGAGTACTTGAAGGTGAGGTTTATTTTCAAATATATTATGTCATATTTATTTTCTGTTATGGTTTACACATTTAATAGTGAAGTCAATTTCCGTCGGTCGTGTCTTCACGCTTAATATAAACGAATACATTTTAAAATATTTATGAATGGCAATTATAATTTTTAGAATGTGAAAACATTGTGACATTTCGCTTTATGTTATATGTCATATAATTCATGCTAAGCACTATTACGGACATAGTAAATAAAAGAATCTGATCTTCTAAATCTAACTCTACGTTTGACACTTTCCGTCTTGGTGTATTTAATGGATATCTGAGAGGACTTTTTTCCAAGAATACTATCAGCACTTTTCTCGACACTGACGATTTACTCAAGTCAAATATGAAAATTACATGGCCTACATACCCTTTCCTTTTTAGACCTTTTTTTCTTCTCATTTTTGTTGGTACTACCTCAGATGTATGGCGTCTACCCATTGTACATGCTGTACCAGGCAGTAAAGGCCCAGGCCGAGAAAGGTCCTATAGATGTCGTGACTGGAGATGCATACTACACACTGGAGTTTAGCAAACTCCTTGATCAGGAAATTGACTTTCATTCTCTCGTAAGTTTGCTGCCTATAATGGGTGATAAAATAAGTGACTGATTGTTTATGAATATAATTATCTCGACCGGCTTCAATGCCATAGGTAAATACCCAAAGAGTTTCGATTGTAATTTAAGATCCATGCCTCGCGGTCTGTAGCTCTATTATTGTTCCCCTTTGTTGCCATACATTTAACATTTAACAAAGGTTGAAATCAGACTCTTTCGAAATCAAAGCTGGGTTCCTGGCTTAGAATGCCTTAACCACTAGGCTGTACAGTAGAGATAGAATAATGGTTTTAGCAAGACCAGATTCAGTTGACCGGCAGATTGACGAAATCTTCGGCCTTCAATAATTTAAAGAGAATAAACAATATCGATATTAAGATCATCCTTTCAATCTCTTTTATCCACGTTCTATTTCCCTTGACGTTCTAGGGCATTGATGTTGTTGATGAAGACGGACATATTTATCTTCATATGACTGTGTTGGATGTTGATACTGTGAAACAAGCCAAACAGAAGATTCTAGACTCACTCTGGAAGAAGAGTTACTGCTTGCTGCCGAGGGACATAGATGCAGTTGATCTAGGTGAGAGTATTGAATGAAATCATAAATAATTGTTTAATTTCGGTTGTATGAAGAAGAAGAAGTGTAATGAATGTCAATTGATCCGCGGTTAATTTCGTACACCAAACGATTTCCTTACTTTGAACATGGACCAAACGAAGCCTGACCATAAACCTAACACATAACTCGATTAGAACTCCGACCCCATATCTTTAACAAAGTAAAGTCGGGAGCTGTTGAAACACCTCCACAATCATTGGCTGGGAATAAAACAGTGCATAATAACTGTGGAAAAAATACATGCATTTTAATAAAAATGTAACGAGCCTCTAAGTTAAGATTTAATTAAACCTTGTTTAGATTGTTTTATTGATCCACCGACGGAGATTTTTTTTTTGCATTTTCGTTATTTTCGTTACATTGTTCATACTGTATATCATATATATCAGAGTAAAAACAGCAACTGTTAACCACTTAGATGTGAATCTTCGTAGAGATGGATTGTAGACTATGACATAGAGAATTCGTATATAATCAAAGCATAATAATTGCTTTAATTGAGATATTTAAACTTCCCCTCATTCTATCTTTTGGTATTTTACAGTGTGGATTCAGACTTCTGGAAGGACCACTTTGCTACAAGATATAGACAAATCCTCTGAGACACAGGGGAAAACCATGATCAATACAATGAAGAGCATTGGGGTATGTTACTAGCTTATAGTTTATTAGCAATTTGTTATTCATAATTATATTGGTAGTAATCGTAAATGCTACGTGTAAGCACTAAATTTTACCTTGTAGAACTGACAAGAGGATTTGCAATTTTATTATATGGACGTGTTTGTATTGATATACCAGGATAATTATCCTGAATATCAATCTGGCATTGGCCGGGGTATTAATGGTATTGGTGTTTAAGCACTGCATAAATGAAACTGTTAAATAACTCCCATAAACAGGAATAGTTTATGTTTTGACCAATATCGAGGATACACATCATTTTCGTACCCGGCTAATACAGAAATACGCATGTAAACAATGGCTAACCATTTTTTTAAAAGTAGTAATGTCGTATGTACCCTAGCTGCGCAGGGCTAGCTGATCATGTAATTTTTTTCACACAAATATTAACTCCAGGCACTGCGCACGGTGAACACATAACTTATTGACCCAGCGCAGTTAGGGTGGTCATAAATATTATTGCGGAACATCAAATCAAATTCATAACTATATTTTGTACTTCCAGATTAGAAACGGATCCCACGTTGCACTAATACCGAAGAACCATGGTGATGAATACCAAACCCTCGATCTGAAAGAAGTATCTTCAAAGACATGTAAGACAAGACATACTTAATTTCTATGAGGTTAGGTGCACACAAGGCGTTATATTAATTCTCGCTATCGCGAAATTCCCCAAAATGCCCCGATGTGGACCTCTTGGACGTAATTTCGAACTACTTCCGGTACTTACATGCTTCCGGTGCATATGGTGCATACGGTATACGTATCCGAAAGCTCTCTTGTCGACTGCTACTGACCTCGTTGGACATTTTACAAGTCCTTAATTGTTCCAGAAGAAATACTCATGGGAATACCACTCCATTTACATCATTAGGGAATTGTTCTTTGTCAAAATGCCGCGAACAAAGTCACGATCGTGCTTGATTTCAAACTTGTCTTGCCTTCTGAGCATCTTTTTCCAAGTCGCGCGCTGTTTAGGGTTTGTTGGGAATCTTACCAAAGTCACATCTCTCATGCAGGAATATCTCCAAAGGTTTTCTCGTTTATTATCGTGCGACCAGCACACAGCAGACTTACTCAAACTGACAATTAAGTATGTAAAAGTAAAAAATTGCTTACGATATACAATCAAAAGGAGCCGAAGACGAAGTGAAAGGTTGCATGTAGGCAGCTAGCTAGCTAGCTCGGTGACTGCGGCTCCGGCCTTGCTGAGACCAGAGTGCATTTGAAATCGGGCTTGAAATTTACATCCGAGTATTTGGGGGGTAATAGCGATACCGAAATTTGCACCATTCACTGACATTTAGGCATAAAATCTAAACATCTTTTTATATTTACAGACGAATCCCTGCAGCATGTGACCGTGGAGATGATTCCTGAATCACATCCCTCACAACCAGCTTCGAATGCTATCCATCTGAAGGTTAGAAATTTTTCGAAATATTAATGGTTGAAAACGTTTTGCATATATGTTCCTGGTGTACAATACACCTTTAATCACGTAACACACAGGTCGAACTAGTCATTTGTCTCGACTCGCTGTGTATTATCCCATATTGATCACTTAAATTCTCAATGACTTAAGCAATAATTAAATGGGGGAAAAGGAGGGCAGAGCAGAGACAAAGAAATAGAGAAATGGAAACGAAGAGAGAAACGAGAGGAGGAAAGGGAGAGAGAGAGAGAGGAGAGATAGAAGAAGAAAATAGGAGAGCGATAATGAGAGACAGAGGGAGAGGAGAGGAAATGAGAAAGAGAGGAAACAAGAGGCAGATAGAGATAAAGCGAGAGGAAGAGAGAAAGATAAGGGGGAAGATAACAAAGAGAAAAGGAGAAATATGGTGAAAGAGCAAATAGAGGCAAAATAAAAGTTCGCTGTTTAATTTGTTTTGCAGGGTGGTGTAGAAGAGCTAACAAGGAAAAGGGGTAACCTGCCTGATCATATGAATCAAATGAAAGCAAACCTCGATCGGAATCTAGCGATCCCCCATATGCTAACCATGAAGGTGAGTCTTTACACGATTTTCTTAGCGGATTTCGGTTCTATACTGATCAATTGGAACTTGTTTCTGTCGGCTTTTTGAAATTCTGAAAGTTAATTTTCTATTTTTATAATTGATACGTCTTGAGTTTGATTTGGATTTGTATGTATTCTGTATGTTTTGCTTTGTTAATTGAACATGTTCAGCCCTTCACTTGAGCTGCATATTCAGTGTTATTTTGACAAAAATCGATTCAATATATCTCACCATCCACCAATCAATCAATCAATCATTATTTTTCACATTCCAGTCATTGTAAATGGAGTCTTATTCAAACTCCTAGGAATAAAGTATAACAATAGTGTATATCATTAGTAATGAAAAGGAACTCAAATTTCTTGAATAAAATATTTAATCTCTCTTTTTATGTTTTGATGTAATTTGAAATATGTTTGTTCTAATATGTAAACATGTTGTACAGTCTTGTAAAGATGAAATACCAATAACTATTCTTTAATATCATACATGGTTCACGGAAAGGATTTCCATTTGATGTTAGTATGGTCGTCTTTATATCATTGATATAGGCATCTATCAGTCCATATGTGGATGGTATCTTTGAAGTGATGTTCAAGAAACCAGCTAAGATCCCTCTACCTGTCAAGTATCTCTTTGACACATTTGATGCACTGGCTATAAAGTATGCAGGTGGAGGATTGCCCGAGGATTGTGCGGATAAATGGAAGAAAAATTGGTGAGCAGGGCTCATGTATTAAGTGTTTGAAAACATTATGTATATTATAATTTATTCCAGTGTTATATTTGATAGTATGTAAATACATTATTCCGGCAAAAATATTCAGTCATTATTATAAATTCATGCCTATGGCGATAAACATCAGTGCACGAAGAAAAGCTACCTCGTCTCTCGGTTTTATGTTTATGACAACCCATCAATAGCAACAACCGTGGTGAAGCGAAAAATCTGTCTAATTAAGTTCGTTCGGCATGTTGGGGATACGTTTTGCTGATATTACGTCTTGCTCCACCAAATTCCTTCTCCCTCTCCTCAGTAGGATGAGAGGTGCAGAAATCATAACATGCTAATAAATCTAATCCAATCTGCAAGAACTGTCTTTTTACGCCTTTAAGAGGAGGGGACCTTTTTAGTCACACCCTTACCTACAATGGGTTGTGAGAAAAGAAATCCAAAAGGTGTTATCTCACGATGTATCAATAACTGTCATCCACAGCCTGTCTAACTTCTGGAGTTCAGTGCTCACCAACCTACCGTCGATGTTTGAGATGCCGAGATCAGAAACAGCAGATAGATGTGTCATCGCCCTCGCTTGTGCTCTTAATGACGCAGCAACGACCAAAACCTTGAGACAGGTAATTAGACATCAGTTCTTGTATAGGAAATCTCACATATTTAGCAAGTCTCTGTGCGCTTTGGATTATTACACGGGTCATTGTCAGCTTAGGCCAAGCAGCCCTATTGAAGGCACCAAATCAGTCGGGCAAAGAAGTCCTATCGTTTTCCATTTACCTCACCTAGGACGAGTTTGGCAAATATAGATTAATATCCTGTTAAAGGACGCTAATTATATGGCAGGGATTGGATCCTCGTATCTTGTGATCTGCAGTCTATAGTGACTGGTCAACTAGACCATACACCTCCATATCAAATATGACATAGCCAATGTAGCAGATGTAGCCTAAGTACTCATATTGCATTCATTTTGTCCATCATCAATGTCTGATCTTTCACATTAGGCTGAATCGGATCATCTGCCCTACTACAATGAACATCCACTCCAGAGAAAGATGATGACTGATTACTGCACCCAGGTAACAAGTCAACCCAAGGTCCGACCAGGAAAGCTGAACAAGGCCTGCTCCTTTATCTCTAAGGTATATTAGAATAATAATGATAGTGTTTACTGAGGGAGTATCGTTGTCTAGTAGTTCATTCTTTTGAAGCTCAATACGATTAATTAGATTTCGAACCCCAACCCAGCACTAACTTACTTTTACAAGACATTACGCATGTACATCACTCTTCACCAAGGTGTAAATAGGTCCCCAATTTGCCGTTGCGAAATATATTTTTGGTCGCCGGTTATGACCACGATGATGGGATAAAAGTATTGGTAATGTTTTCCTGTGACCAGTGACTCGATATTAGCTCCTGTGACAAATGCCCCGGGCTTTATTTCGTCAGGTTGCAGATGGGTTGTAGGTTAGGTATAGGGTTATAGTTAGGGTTAGATGTATTATTGGGTCCAGGGTTGTAGTTAAGAATTCGGTCATGAGCAAATGTTGTACAACTTTAGTGGGGACTCTAACCACTTTCCTTTCCAGAGGCATCAAATGACCGACGGTCCATGAGACTAGTTTTACATGTTATTACATCGTGTATAACCTTTTACGGTCGTATGGGTTGTCGATCTCACGGACCTTTTAGAGCTGTCCGTCGTGTGGGCTAATCGATCTGCTAGGTTATTCTTTCGATTATTGATTAACGTTTTGCTCAATCAACCGTAGACCTAGTCATAAAGACGAACTAAGTTTGAATGTTGATTTACGAAGTGCAAGTTATTCTCTATTATGTACTACTGTAATGAATTAAGTCATTTTAACTCATAGCCTGCCATAAGGATGCATGCACGCTATCGTTATAGTGCTTTGTATATGCGAGAAAGCCATCGCTTGAGTGCCATGTGCGTGCAATGCAGCATTCGTAATAGCAGTAATTGTTCATGCTAATTGGTCTGTGCTGTGTATTTTGCACTTGCTATTCATAGAACCATCGCGTTAATCAGATTATCTCCGAAACAACCTGGCACGGGGGGGGGGGGGGGGATTTGGGGCTTGGCAAAATGGGGATTAGCCCTGTGGCATGATATGAGAGTCAGAAATGTATTTGCTAATGACATGATCTTTATATATTCATTTAGTGATGGAAAAGTATTATCGTCTACGAGATAAACAGGCGAGGCGAGATTTGAACGTGTAGTATTAAAGGGATAGTTGAGGTCTGTTGCAGAGGGCGCTACAAAAAATATTTGTTGTGAGATGATAAAAACTGAGTGTAAAATGTGAAAGAACATACAATTTAAATGACGAAATCATCTTTGTTTGATCAAAATCGGTTCAGAGACGGCTGAAATATCCATATATTTAACGAATGCCGATGTTTGATTTTTTGTTGGCATTGTCGTGTTGGTTATATTACGCACAACCAGCCGGCCCATGTATTGTTATTTTTAATTAAATAATTATTTAATGGTCACCGTTTTTTTTTAAGTTGAGCTGAATTGGTATGATCGTATTGGCTAAATTTCACACATTTTGGGGTCAAAAATTACCTTCATAGCAATTTTAGGTTCTAAAAGGGCACTAGAAATATCACAGATAAGAATAAGAGAAATAACCATGCACTTTGAAGGCATTTGCGGTCTGAAAACAGAACTCAACTATCCCTATGAGTATGCTATTGTTACGGATATCTAAATTGACTACATTTAATTTTTTTTCTTAATTTGATGCAGGAGTTCAAAGGTCAATTCAGTCATCTTTCGAATTTGTTGCACCTTTACAATCTCACCAAGAATGACATGGATGGCCTGGTGGAATAGATCTACATCGTGACGTCATAACGCATTCAATGACATGGGGGTAATAAGTACCCTCTTACTTCCCACCGTAAATAATTCACCCCGATAACTTTAGCCTTCCATGTTCTATTTTAATGGATTAGATCAACAGAGCATTTGTTATTTTATTAATGTGTAACCACACTTTGGTACGCAATAAGTTTACAACTTAACATGATTCCTTAATATTTTGAATTTTCATCCGTACCCCATAATCATTGTTCAATTATTTTGTCCCCGTTTAAATGGATATATTCTAACTTCTGTTAGTTTCACATATAGATTTTAATGCAATGAAGCGCATAATACTCAAAACGCAATATGCCTTCTGTTTAAAATCCATTACAACTCTATCATGTACATAAATCCACTATGTTTGAACTAAACATTTTCATCTTTACCACCATTAGAATGTTTAAGCTGCGAAAAAAGGAAACAGAAAACGAGGTTATTATGTCAATTGTATGGCATTACATTAATGTAGTAGTATTTGTCTGTACACAAGAGGTACATGGTTTGCCATGCACTTTATTTTCTTGTCTAAGAATTATGTAATATGTATTGCCTTGTATTTTACCATGTTTCAACTGAATATGAGGGATATCAAGAATCTCGTGATATAATTAATTTGTTTTAAAGAACTTTCAGTTGTATTTGGGATGTATTAACAATTTTACTTTAGAAAAGATGTTGAATATTATGTATGACTGATATGCGAAGGTATTGAAAACATACCTACTCTAAATATATTCGGGGTTTATTGTATTGGTTTATTGAGATAAAAGTCATCGAATACACAGATGACACTGATTGCTGAAATTGTTCAATTTATAGAGTAAAAAGTACACGGCATATATAAAACATATAAAACATTACAAATGTAGAAAACTTACAAATATTGTGTTTCATTGATGATATAAAATTGCCATTTGTTTTTAATTAGAAAGAAATTTGATAATATAACAAAAATCATGATATATGATCAATAACCCACTTTTAAACCAAGGTTATATATAAACCAAGGTTATATATACCAAATATAAATATATATATGTATTTATGTCATATAATTGAAATGTGCGTGCTTTAAAAATTAGGTAATGGTAAGTTTGAACGCACATGCTCAAAAAGCCTACGCTTATTGCAAAAGCCTTGATCACCACCTATTGAAATCCGAAAACATTACACAGCTGTTACGTAATCCATTTATGAGTTTCATGGGATATTTAATAATGTATTGACATTTGCTCTTGAGTTGCCCGATATTTTAGTGTGATAAAACAGTTGTAAATATTATAAAACAGTTGTCTACTGGCAGTTTAACAGTTCCATATTTTGACATCAAACTTTGCTACATACAATGGTATGCAATGTGAATTTAAATCATCCTTGATAAAAAAAAAAAAATGTTATACTCAACAAATATATGCAGACGCTCACATACGTTTGATACTTCATTCCATCAAAAACGGCGTTCCTTTGTAATCCCTGGGTAAAGTGACTTAGTGATAGAACATGAAAGAGGAAGAAAAGCTCCGGACCATCAAAGCAATATTAAGTTAAGAAATGTATGAACACAAGAAAAACGTTTATATACAGTTTAGAAGCTTAATAAACAGGTTGCCTCCATCTCTGTCTATATCATGTACCAATCGTATGTACAGCGACAATCATTTTATAATTCTTAGTTCACGCAAAACATACTAGTTTCCTTCATATCATTGGAATAAAAAAGTGACCTCGTATATTCTTTAATAATTCATTAAGTATTTGTGGCCTAATGTGTTCATCTTCATTTACTAAATGATTTATATTTATGTAATAATCGTTCCGTAGAAATGTTGTTTCTTTAAGAATTATTTGAGAGTGATTCTTTTAAAAATTATTTACTTTAAACTGTTTTGATTATATTATCTTTTTATTCCAAAACATAGTAGATTTACTTTTGCATACAACCAATAGATGGTGTGTGTGTGTGTGTGTGCGAGAAAAACATGAGCAAGAGTGGGATAGAGAGAGATGATTTGGTTTTTTATTAGTACAAAAAGGTTAAGATCATGTTGATGAACTTTGGTCCTCTCAGCTTTTCAATTTATTTCAAAACACAGTTGGTAGTTAATTTTTCCATAACAACCAATGAAGGATGGTGTGCCTGTGTGTTCGTGTGTATGGGTGTGTGTGTGTGCATGTGCATAATTACGATTTTATAGATAAAGAATTAAAAGAAATATTTTTTAGACCAAGAATTACTATACTCATTAAAAACCAACGAGAATTTAAATTTAGAATATTGCATGGAGCCATATATACTAATGACCATCTTCATAGATTTGGTTTTGTTGGTGAAAATTTATGTCCGTTTTGTAAACGGGAAATAGAAACATACAAACTTTAATTTTCATCTTGCGGGAGCGTTCAAAAGATATGGCAGGCTTTAGTAAAACTTTTTGAGTCAGATGAAATTAAAGATTTAGAATGGCCAGATATATTTGCTGGGTTGGCAGGTAGTTCAAATAGAATAACAAAATCTGTAATACTGTAATTTTCATAGTGAAGTATGGTATATTTATGTCAAGATCGGGGGGACAAGTACCAGCTTTCGAAAAGATGAAGAAAAGTAGTTTTAATTATAGGGATGAGAAAAGGAAATAGCCATTAAGATAAAACAAAAGCTGGATTACATTTTTTAAAGTGGGAGCAGCTTAGTATTAATTAAGAATTGTTTTCCTCTCAACCGTGAGCTTGTTAAAGTGTAACTCTGTTTTGCAGCCTGGTTAATAACTTGCTTATTTACTATATTTTTATTGAGTTGAGAATTTTAGCAGACAGCCACTGATTACTATGTGTGTGTGTGTGTGTGTGCGTGCGTGCGTGTGTGTGTGTGTGTGTGTTTGTATGAGGGAGGGGGACCTGGGTGAACCAGTAAAATAAATTCTAGTTAAACTATTTTTTTTTATACAAGTGATAAATGTGTACAATTGATTTATAATTTATGTCTATGTAGTATGTACTAAATGAGTTTTTGTTTAATTATGTCTATGTATAAGCAATCAACATTGTTAAGGTGTATTTATATTATTCAATTGTTTTACTCAATTGAAGGGATAAAACAAAATTACTTTAAAAAACAAATATGTCTGTGATACATAAGAGAGAAATATAAAAATCCATTCATTCTGGCAGAGAGGGAGTAACAGATATGCTAAGGAAATAAAGGATTTTAAGAGAGAAAAGAAAAAAAGAGTGTAAGAGTGGTACATTTTTCTTATGATTATTGTTTCTAGTTTAAAATCACTCAATACATAAGCAGAGACAGAAACATGTCCATGTTTCAATAGAACTTCCTGTTCTGTTCTCGGGGGAGGGGGAGGGCTGGCACACATGTCACTTGAGTTCTTTTTCTTTGTAACAAAACCTAGAGCAATGAATATAGCAATGAACAGGCACAATAACAATAAAATAGATGCATATTTCGAAGCAAAGGCAAGAAACCCACTGGTATAACAAAACAGAAAATCTAAGAGCAAATGGCAGCATTCTTTTGGTCTATCATCACAAGAAGCTACTTTTTAAGATATCACCATTACGTGGAGGTCTATCAGGTGCGTACCCAGGGGGCGGTGGGGGCGGTCGCCCCCCAAAAAACGCAAGCCCCCAAAAGAAAAAAGGAAGAGGACGAAGAAAGAAAAGGCTTAAGAGTCGAGAACGGTACAACGAATCGTCTTCTTTCTCTAATAATTTTAATAAAACCACACAGCTTCCGCGCTTCGCGCTAGGGAGGGGAACTGAATTCAGATAAGGATTAAGAGTCGAGAACAGTACAACAAATCGTCTTCTTCCTCTAATAATGTAATGAAACGTCAAAGCTTCCGCGCTTCGCGAGGGAGGGGAAAACTCCCCGTCCCTGTACCCCCCCCCCAGGGAGCGAGCTTCGCGTGCTCACTACCGCCCCCCAAAATAAAATCATGGCTACGCGCTTGAGGTCTATCAAGGTTTACATCATGAATAGAACAAACCGCTTAACCAAATATTATTTTCAATCACCTGTACAAATAGATATTATTCAGGCATAGTATACATCATCCTTTAAAACTGATGGCAGTCTAAAAATAGAGTCACATGTCTGAACACAGGGAGAGGAGACAATACTAGCCACTTTGTGGTTACAAGTCACATGAATCAATTTTTTTACGACGTCAGAATTGCCAGTTTTTTTCCCACGATGGAGAAATTTGACGTCAGATCATGCCAATAGTTATTCGCTCATCTGTAACATAGGTTTCTATACTATTCAACCGTGTATTTGATCGCTCCCTGGTACTCAATGCCATGCAGAATATATTTAGAGGAAAATCTAACCCAAACAGACAACTACTCTATAAAACACAGAAAAATAAGATAATTAAACTGATGAAAGTTTCAATTAAATCTTACTAAATATAAGAAAGATATGAATTATTTTAAAATCATTATAGGTATGAGCGCTTCAAATTGGCTGAAGCAGTAATATCAATGTGATGTGCCGGAGTACTATCTCATCTGTTCCGACATTATTAGATGACTCAAATTAGTTTTCCTTCTAAAAGTCATGGCTCAGGAGGGTCTATTCCTTTTAAAGGACATATAATAAATATAATAATATGCTGTCTATAATACATTTTGAGTAGTGCCCCAATGGAGAAGGAACTCACGAGAAAAACAGAAATTAATGATATTTTTTGTACACGGCGAATGGGAGAGTTATCCACGTCCTTCGTCGCAATCAACTGACCAAACTACCAATTTGAGATTCGCATAGACTAAGTGATCTCTTTTTCAAACATTCATAACTTCCTTACTATTGGTCCGATTCATTTCAAACTTTTGCCATCCTGTTTCTCTTATTTTCTGCTTTCATTCAAATCAATTTATTACAAGGGGTGGAATGCCCTTTAATAGACAACTACTCAAAAAGAAACCATACCAAACAGAGAGGCACATTT